AGGCATTAATTTGGTTAGTTTTTTACTATCTTTAGTTAAACCTTGGGAGTCAGTCCACATTCTAGGGATCTTGTATGAAGTTTCTTTATATTCTTTTATCTTTGATACGCTTACAGGTGTTGGCTCCAGTTGCCTGACCCTAAGGAGGCAGGGGGTTTCTCTTGTCCCTGCTGCACCAGTTGGTTCCCTGAGTCCGACAGGCCCTGCCTCCTGACTGTAGCCATATCTGTCATCTCTCCATTGACCATACCTGGCTGCTGGGGGAGGCCTTGGTGGGAAAAACTGCCTCCACCCCTAGTATAGCCTTTATCAGGAGAGAAATAAACTTAATTTAATCTTTGGGGATTTTTAACCACTCCTGGGGACAGTTTTTATACTTTGAATGCCTTTCGTAAACTCTTTTTCTGGTTTTAAAGCCTTCCAGAAACTCCTTAGTACCAAATTTGGTTTTCTATCAATTTTTTCTTTGGGAATTTGGACTCTACATAAGTCTTGCCACGTTTGTCTTCGAGTAACACAAACGGACCGTTTCTTCTGTCTGGTCTTTTTAATATCTCTTGTGGGGTGTTCTGTTATTCTACAGACACATTTTACACATTGGTCACTTATATCTGCTAAAGCCTCTCTCACTTTACAAAGATCCTGTCCTATTAAAGGGCTTAGCAAAACCATTAAAACTCCATAGCTTTCTCAGGGTCCCAGTTGAATTAAGCTTTCCTTTCTATCTCTGGTGAACATAGTCTTTTCTGGCCCAGTGAACTGGGTATCTTTTCTCATACTTAGTTCTCTCAGTAATGCCTGTCCCTCCTTTATAGTCCTTCAGCCTCTGTTAATTATGGAAGTTTCCTTTGGTGATGACCATCTATCTTTAATGCCTTCAACCAGCCACCCCATTAAAGACTGCTCCCCCCTGCATTGGCCTGTGTTGAACACAAGGACTGATGGGTGGTTATATAACTCAGCTGTGATCCTTCTGAAGAACCTAGACTGATGTTATTTGCTCCCATGTCCCATACCCTCACTAGCCATGTGGTGAGGGGCTCTTTGATTACTTGTAAGTTTTTCCTAGTTTTAACAGTTCCAGTGTGGAGTACTTCCTAGCTGCAGTACTGCTAGCTTCCTTTCCTTCTCTATCAAAGGTTGAATCTGAGGCTCAGCCTTAGGCCTTTTGTTTTTAGGTCATTTCCTTTTTCATTATTATCTGTCTTTTTTTCCAGAGTCCTTGGACCTTACACAAGTTAAAATGTCCCTTTTTTTCTCTCTCTCAAGTTCTGCAGCTGGGTCTGCCAGCACCTCCCTGGCCTTTTCAGCTTCCCCTGCTTTGGGCAAATCTTTTATTATGCAAAGTGGCCACGCCCACTCTCTGGGTTCTCTGCTTGTGTCCCAGGCCTGTAAAAGTTTTTCTAGCCTTTCTATAACCTTTAACGAATTTACATATGCCCACAACTGGGCTATTTCCCCACATTTACAACACAGCTGTGGCCCACACTTCTGCATGGACAGCCCCTTTTTAGTTACATATTTTATAATCCATTGTAAGATCCATGTCAGTGCCGCCATTAGCTCCCTTGCTTTTCCCAAACTCTTGGGGTTTGTCGTTTCTAGCGACATCCTGCTGGCTGCACCAATTTGTTGCAGTTCTCTTAGGGTGCTATTAGACAAACCATATAACACATCTTTATCTGAATTTTTTATATCTAAGGTAGGGGAAATAGAGTAACTTACACAGGCGAACACCCAGCACCCTGTTCCACTCTGTGGCTCAGTGGCCCGCCAGTTCAGATTGCCTCCGAGCCTCATGGGCCTGTGGTCTCACCCCAGGTCAATAAATGCCCCCTCTCATGTCCACGCAGGCAAGACACCAGGGCCATTTTTTCCAAGATGGCGCCAACTCTCCTCCCTCCGTAGCTAACTCTCCGCTGCTCCCTTTCCATAGCTAACTCTCCACAGCAGGCCCGCCCCTCAGAGGAGGAATTGCCCCTCAGGATACAGGCGGAAAGCACCTACTATCCAGAACACAAAAGAACTCTTTCAACCTAAGAATAAAAGGACAGCCTGAAGCCAGGCAGGTGGCACATGCCTTTAATCCCAACACTGTGAGTTCAAGGCCAGCCTGGTCTATGTTAGGTTTGAGAATGGAGAATAAGTCCCACAGATACCCAAAAAGATTATACAAAAGTTTATTTAAGAATTTAAAGAGAGAAAAAGATAACCAAATGGTAGCTAGCCTGGCACAGACTTCACGAGCCAAATATGGAGTCTGGCCCCGAACAATAGCAGGCAGGAGCTTTTATTGGGGCACTCTGTAGAAACCCGCTTGCGCCAAGCATTTTTTAAAATAATTGGATGTCCCCATATCGTGTGTACGGGGAAAGTCTTGATTGGTAGGGGCTGCCTTCAGGACATTGGAATGTGCTGACTAATATCTTTTAAAGTCAGAAGTTTTTGTTCATACCTTATAAGGCTTTTACATGTACAATATGCCTGAGCTTGTCTGGGCTTGTCTAAAGAAGCTAGCCAAAATGGAGTCAGAGCATTCTGGCCCTTCAGTCTACATAGTGAGTTCCAGGTCATTTGGGGCTACAGGAAGACCCTGTCTCAAAAAGACCCCCCCCCCAAAAAAAAAAACAAAAAAGGACAGCCTGATTTTTAGAAAAAATTGGATAGACGGATAGACATTTCTATCCGTCAAATTTGGAAGTATGTCAGCATTCTGTTATGAGGACTAATGAAAAGAACAATATAAAAGAAGATTGAGAGAAGTGTTGGTGAGGATAAGGAGAAACTGGATCTCATGTATGGCTGGGAGGAATGTATACAGTGCAGGTGCTAACAGTTTAACAATGTCACAAGGGGCTAGTACAGACCTATCATTTTCTCTTAGGTATACCAAGACCATGTCTTTGCAAAAACTTTTTATTGCAAGTATTTATTGCAGTCAAAGAGTGGCAACTGGCTTTTTAAACTAACCAAAACATAGAAGGTCACAGAGAATGTGCCCAGCAATAGGCAGTGGATTATTCTCCAGCAGTGGAAAGGAATAGGATATGATACATGCACTAGTGAGGTTGGAGCTTGAAAACAGGCTCAGTAAATGAAGGCGACACAAAGGTCAAATACTGTCTAATTCATTTATGCACGATGTCTGCAGTAGGTCAGTCCACAGTGCTGTAATGTAAAGTAGTGGTTGTAGGTGGAAGGAGAGCTTGGTGTGTGACTGATCTTAACTGTTCAGATCCACCTTCCATTTTGACTTGAGATTCAGGCTTGTAGACTTTTTGGTTACTGGGAATGTTTTTAAATTTTATTAAAATTGGGGAGGAAGAGAGTCTGCAATCTAATCTAGTTTTATTTTTATTTTTAATTATGTGTATGTGTGTGTGGGTGGTTATATGCACATGAATTCAGGTGCCCATGGAAGCCATAGGAGTTGGGTCACCGAGGAGCTGCAGTTACAGGTGATTGTGAGCCACCCAGTATGGGTACTGGGAATTGAACTCCAGTCCTCTAGAAGAAGAGTACCTGCTCTTAACTGATGAGCCATCTCTCTAGCTCTCCCCACCCCCATTTTTTGAAAGGGTCTCATATAGCCCAGGCTACCTTAAATTTGCTGTGTATCAGAGACTGGAGAGATGGCTCAGCAGTTAAGATCACTGATGGCTCTTGCAGAGGACCTGGGTTCGATTCCCAGCACCCACATTACAGCTAACTTCCATTCCAGGGAATCCAGTACCATCTTCTGACCTCCGCAGGCATTGCACAACACAAATGTACTTACACACATGCAGGCAACACACTTATAAAATAAAAACAGCAAGTAAAATATTTTTTTAAAATCACTATATAGCAAAGGATAACCTTAAACTAATCCTCCTGTCTCCACTTCCAGGTGCTGGTTATAAGCATGTTCAACCACATCTGGTTTAGGTGGTGCTGGGATTGAACAGCGGACTTTTTACAGACTAGGCAAGCACTGTGTCAGCTGAGCTACATCCCTAGCTTGGGGTTGGTGTGATGTCACGGAGTTTAAAAGTGAGGGCGTACAACCTTGGGACTAGCCTATAAGCCACTGAATTTCATACTTTAGGAGATGCATGTTATAGTATCTGAATCATCTCTAAAATAGTAATTCGAAAAAGCAAAAGTTACTTCAGATGCACTTCCCTGTTGGCATTTGCACTCACCAGCTGAGGGTTTTACTTAGCGACAGGTACCTCAGCTCTTCAGATAGCTTTCCACTTCTGTCTCGCAAGAACTCGTTCAGCTTTACGAGTCTTAAGTTCAAACTGGGGCTCTTCTTTCCCAGTGTTCTTTCCTCTAACTTTCTCTGTCCGTTTAGCAAAGAATTGTAGATGAGGGTGAAACATGCTGATTTGGAATATCGTTAACAGAGCTGGCAATTTATTCATATAGTTAACCAAAAAGTGTTAGGTGTTGTTCATTTAACACATAGCACTCGAGCTAGAAGAAAGTAAAAATTTTAATTCTAATTGACTCAAATTTTCTCATTTCCATAGAACTGAGATATGAATGTCCAAGTCATTTGTCAAAGGATATTTTTCCTCCCCAGAAGAAAAAACTCCCCCAAATTGGTTTTAATATAATAAATGTTCTTACTTTGTTCCAGTCTTGTATATATGTGTCTTTGGAAGGGGTGGGGGAGGTTATTGGGATTTGAGACAGGGTTTCACTGTGTAGCTCAAGCCAACCTTGAACTTGCCATCCTACCTTAGACTCCCAGAGTATATATGCAGCCATACCTGGCATCAGTATAATTTTAATGCTGATGCACGAAGCTTGGGTTCTAACTTCCAAGAAAGCAGAAACTTTTGCCATCAATGCATAAATTTGGAATTTGTCCTTATGCCTTATACATCCTGAATGTCTTACAGTTTGCTGTATAATGCACATTGCATTATATATGTTTTGTAATACACCTTTCAATTAACTGTAATGTTCTGAATTGATAACATTTTTCTTAATGTTTTTGTCTTTTTTAGGTTGGTATTTTGTATGGCATCTATTTTTATCTAAATTCAAGTTTCTTCGGGAGCTGGTAGGAGATACAGGATCCCAGGAAGGAGATCATGAGCCTTCAGGGTCTGAAACTGAAGAGGATCCTTCAGCCTCTCCACACAGGATAAGATCTGTTCGCCAGCGGCGGGCACCTGCTGACGAAGGCCACTGACCCCAGACACAGGCCTTTATTAGGGAAATGGTGTCAGGCAGTTATGAGCTCCTCTTTAGTGACTTGGCTTTGAAATTTACTAAGTGACTGAGGAACCTCTGTAACTGGATTTATATCCAGTTCAAAAAAGATCTACATGTAAGCCATATAAGAAATAAAGGGAATTCAAACCAAATTGGACCATTACAAATTTCATCTTAAGATACCCTGCTTCACTGGCTCTTGGGCATTTTTTTTTTCTTTTCTTTTTGCACTGGTGTAAATCTGTAAACATTTCAGGCTTGAAAAAACATGTTATCACTCATAAAATGTACCCCTTTCTGACATTTGGACGTCTCAGAAATTGGTACGCATCTCACTGCTGTCAACCAAGTGAGTTGTGCCATTCTGGCTTGCACACGTGTGAATTTGCAGCTTGTCACAGTGCTCTTACCTCAGTGTGTGTTTTGTTATATCAAATATATCAGGTTTAATTGGCATTTAAAACATGTTCTCAAAAAGATTGTACCATGGTTCAGTATGGAAAGGAAATTCGGTTATTGTATATGCAGAAGAACGTGGATCCAGCACAGTGGGGCGTGTGTCTGATGGTAGTGAAGCAAACATTTGTCATTGGAAAGTGATTGCAGTTTCATATTTTCTTGCAAAACAATGACAAAATGCTGTACAGGACCTAGGAAATGAAGATGCCACAGGTCGATGAAGCTGTACTGCATTTTGTCAGTAAGGCATTTGCAAAAGTGTTGTCTGTTACATGCCAGACCATGCAGTTGAAGGAAGGAGAGATTGCCAAAACCCTCAGAATTGAAACAAAATTCAAAATAGCAAGAGATGGTGTGACCACGTCATGCATCAAGAAGGACTCTCATTAAGACATCAAATGCTGTTTCATCCAGAGCGTCCTACTGATACTAGACAGAAGGCAGTGCTGGAGCCTTCTCCCAGAATGCTGCACCGCCAGAGCTCTGGACACCGAGGGCCATGTATGGGAAAACGCAGACCTCGATCACTGTGATTTGAAAAGTGATTGGGAGGAGGTGGATTTGGAATATGAAGTTATAACTTAATTGTGTGCTTCACACATTCTTTAGATATGCACAACATTTATGTGATGATAAAATCTATAAAAGCACTGTTTGAATAAATACAAAATAAACATTTTCTGTGATACAAGGCATGTGTCATAGCTTAATGGGCAGCATTTTTTCTTAGAGATACATATGGTGCATCTTAACAATTGATAGTCTCTTAGATTAAGTAAAAATGATAATTTGTAAATTTTTATTTTCAAAATATTTATTGGAGAACTTAATTCTAAATGTTAAAATAGTGATCTTTTATGAAGTACTTTTTGGGGTGAATGTATTCAAGATTTTACAGTAGTGGCTAAAGAGTCTAAGAGCTCTTTTCTACTTTAAGAAGTGAGATCAGTCCTTTCCTTTGTGCGGGGGCTTTATACTCTGGGCTTGCATTGTGCAGAAAATATTTCACACAACAACTCAGTGACAAGATCTCCAAGGTACTAGGGATTGAAAAAAAAATAGTGGGTAAAAATACCTGCTTGACTGTAAAATGACTCTTGCCAGGAGTCCATATTTGTTTTAACTGAACTTTGGGCTATTTTCTAGAGAAGAGAGATGGGAATTAGTGAAATTTGTAGTTGAGTGTCATCTGCTCTGTCGAAAACTGAACTGCAAAGCCAACTTTACTAATCCAGGTTCTTTGGTTTAACCTTTGTTTCTCACTTCTGCTTTGTGTTGTGTTTCATTGTGTTTGATACCTCATTCTTCATACTGACAGATTTTGTCTAGCAGTAGTCCACTGGCTGTGCCCCAGTGCTTAATGAACCCCTTTGGATATTGTAGCCCTGTGGATCCGCTGAAAGGGGAGTTACAGAGCATAACTTTAGGTTATCCATTTGCTGATGGAACATGCCTAGCAGCTAAGAGTGGGGTGCAGTTCTGTCTTCATTTCTTTAATGGATGTGGTGTGCGTAGAGGGTATAAAAACCAGTGACATCATTTCTGGCATTAATTTCTAATATTATGTTAACTATCACACTCGTGGTCAAGATGCTCCAAAGCATCTTGGTACTGGGAGGATGTTTACATTAGTTGCTTTTGTAGTCTAATGTTTTGAGCTCTGGGTTCTAATTTTTGTTTGTGTTTTACGGTGGATATCCAAGGTTTAGATGATAACAGTTAATGAAAAACATTAAGTTGCAGGTGAGCTACCACTTGTGTCAGTGTTAAAGAGTAATGATTGATGTAACTGCCCCTCTTACCCAATCTCTAGTCAGGTCCAAATTATCCCTGTAAAGCTATATATGGAATATTATTTAATGTTATGTTTCAAGCATATCTTAAGGAATTTTAGGAAATATTATGCTTAGCCTGGGAAATACCTAAAAGGACATTAATGGCTCACACTTGCCATGTTTTAAGGTACTTGAGGAGAGTCGAGAGAAATTGTGGATGCCAATATGAAGCATCTGAAACAGTCCTTTGTTTAAAACTGGTTTCATGTATCTCCCTTTCCAGAATACTTCTAAGACCACTAAGAAGGGACAAGAAATCATTGTCCTTGTAAGTCTACTTATGGTGTGGATTTTTGTCCTGTTTCCTGTTTACTTTTAGTGCTTTTGTAGCTGAAGTTACCAGAACTCCATCACAACTGCATTCTCAGGCTCCCAGTGAGAGGAGGAAGAGTGTATGGTTAACTTTAATGGGTGGGCTGGACAGGCGACTCAGTGGTTCAAGAGCGTGTACTGCTCTTACAGAGAACCTGAGTTCAGTTCCTAGCACCCACATGGGTTCCCAGCCATGTGTAACTCCCAACTTCAGGAGATCTGACAACCCTCTTCTAGCCTCAGGAGGCACCTCCACTTAGGTGTACATATACACAGACACATAATTTTTTAAAAAGTTTAAAAGGTGGTAAGCATTAAAGATAAGCATTAGAATTTTTCCTGAACCCTTCCGGAAAATGATGATGCCATCTTTAATGACTCAGGCCTATTGTTTCATTTTCCTCTTGGCCAACCTTTCCCGAGTTTGTTGTCGCCTTTTGCCTTAGGAGTTGGGTTTTTTTTTTCTTGTGTGTGTGTGTGTGTGTGTGTGTGTGTGTGTGTGTGTGTGTGTTAGCATGGCTCCAATTTAAATGCCAAAAAACACTAAATATTTGTCTAACACTGTTCAATGAGGTGTTAAGTAGTTACCTGAAGATAACTGTAGAACTGAGTTGAATTTCCATACTGGAAGCAAGCATTGTTCCGTATTAGTCATTTCATAGATCTGTTGACTGTTTCTTTAGATTAGGCTTAAGAACCATCTCCAAATAGTATTTTGCTATGAGTTTGAATGTATAAAGTCCTGGCAGTCAAGACATGCTGAAGGATCTGAACATACTATATCTTTTAAGAGTAACAGTTTTTGAAATTGTAAATCCACAGTGCAGTCTCTTTTAAAAGTTAGTTTTTCTCAAAAGGTGTGTTTTACTGTAACTCTGTAACCAAGATAACTAGATTTTGACTGGTAAACTAAGTTCTTTTATATTTGAAGTTGACTTCATAGAATCAATGAGCAGTTCTCAAAGTGTAAAGACTCAGGTGACTGTGGAAGAGTGTTGGGTTATGGAATCTAGAATTAAAGCATCTAGCATTGTCTGTTGTTAAAATGTTCCAGAGTTTTAAACTTGTAGCGGCATCTCACCCTGTATCAATAGAAGTTCCATTTCCTCATGGTACCTGTTCATGAGGAAGGCCTAGCGGCAACTGCCGAGCCCATTCTATACATAACCATTCACCAAATGCTGCTGCTGTGGGATCTTGCAGGAACCGTGCTGTCCAGTGCTATGGTGCATTGTCATCTGGCTGCTTGACAAATAGGATGTTAAGAAATAGAACTGTGTGTATTAACATGATCTTTGTAGAACAAAATGAAAAACTAAAGATGAGGAATGTGGAAACGATCATTGTTTTTGTCTTAAAATTGGTCAGTACTATATCCAAAACGTCTGTGGTGTGTATGTTTTAACTTTCACTTTAAAATGCATAGAATAAATTACAATGAAAAAGAACAAGTGTATGTTTCATTGATTTAAGGATAGTGAAAAGTGTGCTTTGGATATGGAGGGATTTGAAAGCAGCCATTTTTACTTATGGGCCACATTTGACCTCACTTTTCCAACTCTGCAAATCTGTAAGAATTGAGAGGGTAGTACTTGCATCCCATCATACCTTGAAATGAATGGATGTAAAACCTAAAGAATGTGGCATTAGAGCTCTGTTGTTGTGCTCAAGCCTTTTCTTCCCCTCATTCAACACCCTCAAGATTTTTTGGCCAATTTGTTTGCTGTAGATCATACTTAATTTTTGTTAGTGCTTGCCACGAGAAAGACTGAGGAGACTGAACAAAACTAAGTAAAAAGCCTGCTTCCCAGGGCCTGTGGGACCCGCTGCAGGCCTCTCTCCTACCCTCAGGCCTCTCTCCGGGGTAAGTCCATTGCGCCTCCTGAGTCTTGACTCCCCTAGCCTCATTCACCCTCCCATCTCCCCTGCTGTTCTCTCCTAGTTTGGATCCTGTCCCATTCCTTGTGTTGGGGCCCCAGACACCTGGGGAACCAATACTGTTTCCTGATACTTTTCATCCAAACCAACATAGTGCCCTCTCTGGACCCCAGGAGCACTACTGGGCCTGGCCCCGCCCTCACCTCCCTCTGCTTCCCTGGGCCTGCACCACCTGCCAGCCTCTTTCTGGGATGCGGGAACTGATCTTTCCTCTTCCTGGTCCCTTGTATCCAGACCAACCCAGCTCCTCAGTGCAGTTTCCAGGAGTCCTTGGGGCCTCATCCCGCCTCATCTGCCTTTGCATCTCTAGGTGGCACAGCCACCAGCTGTCTTAGACCAGCACCTTTCCTAGGCCAGGCTCCCAGGCCAGTCCAACCCCCAAATTCCTAAGGCCAAAATCGTTCCTGGAGGGATCCAGACCTTAGGAGAAAGCCTAAAAACATCTGACCCTCATCTGAATTGGGCCTCTTTGGGAACTGCTGAAGACAAAAGCAGTCCCGCCACTCCAATATAAAATCAAAAGAGAGAACCGGAAGCTTAGATGAACCAGCTTTTCATGCCCCAAAAGTAAACCACAAAGACACATAAAGTTCACAAAAAGAAACAGACCTAAACTTGAAGGCCTGAGTCTCACACAAGAATCAGAAAATACAAAAATTCACATGGCAAAATCACAGAGAAAAAATTACAACATGAAAAACCAAAATAACATATCCCCACCAAATACCAATAGTCCTCTAGAGGAGTACAATGAGAACCCCCTAGAGATAATGCAGGACATGGAACTCAAAAGAACAATTAGAAACATGATAAAAGAATTCAGTGAATTTAAAGAAACCATACACACAAAAGAACTGAAGGAAGATAGGGATAAACATCTGAATGAATTCACAAAAGAGTTAGAAATATTGAAGAATACTCAGGCTGAAATGAAGAAGGAAGTGAAACACTCAGTAAGCCAATTAGGAACAACAGGAGAAAGCCTCACCAATAAGATGAGATTGAACAAAACTCAGGCAGAAATGAAGAAGGAAGTGCAGAACTCAATAAGCCAACTAGGAACAACAGGGGAAAGCCTCACCACAGGAATGAATGAAATGGAAAACAGAATATCAACATTGGAGGATAGTGTTGAACAATTTGACCACTCAAGCAAAGATTATGAAAAATTTAAGAAATCACAAGAATGGAATATGCAGGAATTGTGTGACACCATAAAAAAGACCAAACTTACGAATCATAGGCATTCAGGAACTGGAAGAATCCCAAGATAATGGCATGGACCAGATCTTCAACAGAATCGTGGAAGAAAATTTCCCAAAATTAAAGAAAGATATGCCCATACAAATAAAGAAGAATATAGAACACCAAAAAGACAGGATCAGAAAAGAAACTCTCCACAGCACATCATAGTAAACACACTAAACATACAGAACAAAGAGACAATCCTGAAAGCTGTAAAAGAAAAACAAGTCACCTATAAAGGAAAACCCATTAGGATTACAGCTGATTTTTCAGTGCAAACGATGAAAGCCAGAAGAGCCTCG